TTTTTTTTTTTCATTTTCTTTAATTCCAATTTATTTTATCATCTGCCTAGGCTTGATGTTGTTTTGACGAAAAGAAAAAGAAAAAGAAAAATCAGATAAAATGCCTATCATGGAATGGGTGGTTGGGGACAAATTTTGGTGCAAAAATAAATATTTTTAATATGTTGTCGATAACATTGGTGCACAGTTACTTTTTTAGGATTCAAAAGTAAACAGAGACAAAATGATTTCCACAAAGAAAGTGATCACAAACAAAATTCTGATATTTTTATCCCATCTATGTCTCCACACATTAAAACCCCTTAATTGTCCTAGTCTTTTCTCAAATGATGATATGCTCATCCATAACTTAGAAAAAAACAAACCTTTTATTACTTTTTTACACAAGTATTTGGATCATATCCGATATACTGAATTACATCGAACTGAACGTTATTAAAAATAAATATGAAATTTTATATGTTGTAACGTACAGTATTGTTTTATACAATTTACCGAACATGTCCATAATGATTTTTAACACAATTTATCGACGGTATAAAGATGTCGATTGGGTCAATTTGGTCCAACATGCCCATGATCAGGCCACCAGGCTAGAAATATTATTAATTTTTATTCTTTTAAAAAGAGATAATTAAAAACCTCTAGCCGAGTTCAAGAGATTTTGATTCACAGCACAGGGGGCAGCAGCCCTACATTGAGGACAATTGATATAATTAATGATATGATTATACCCTACATTGAGGACAATTGATATAATTAATGATATGATTATATGTTTTAATTATGTCATTCTATTTATACTTTATTGACTAATTGATTGCAGTGGTTGGAATTCACATTACAATTAGCTAAAGTTAGGTTATGAATCCAATTCTATTGTAGAGACATGGGGATTCATTGGTGTACGTACATTATATAGACCTCTTCAGTCTCGACAATCATTACACTTTAAAAGATAAGTTACGGAAAGTTAATCATCTTATCTAAAAGTATAGCCTTCAAACTTTAAAGAGATGATACATTCATTTAAATTTCGTCTTTGATACGTATCCTCAAGTGCAATCCAACTTCGTCTTTTATCGTGCATACTAATAAAAAGAAGGAGACGAGACTTGAATAAAAAAAAAAAATTAATTGCTTTGATCATGTTTGCTTCGTGGTTAAATTATAAATTAAGTGATTATAAATTGTGGTTCCACACAATGTGTAGGTAATAAATAGGTGATTTAATATATGGAAAAAAAGTATATTTAATTGTAAGTAATTAGATTTTAATCACGAACTAAATAATGGATGTTAAATACTTAAAACTATTGGAGAGAAAAAATAAAAATAAAAATCTGTATTTACTTAAATTTAATCCTTGAAACACACAGTTTCCTTGCAACATCACTAGGCACTGCCCCCACAATAAAGAAAAAAACCAAGAAAATGATTCATTTCACATGACACAAGGTTGTGTAAAAAGTATTTGATATACTAACTGCAGTTTAAACACCCCCCCTTTCTTTGCTAGTGTTTTGTGCGGAGCTTTTGCTGCAAATTTGGCTCTGAAATAAGTAAAAGAAAAGTTTCCAACAAATTATAAGCTGTTAACACCTAATTTATTACAGTGCAGCAAAATCTATGCACATTGACCTTGCTGCTCTCTTCTTCAATCTCCAAGGCATCTAGCTAAACAAAAAGTTCTACATACTTTATAAAAATTCCTTTTCAGTTTTCAACCCACATCTAGAAATCATCTTTTTTTGGCTGAAGAAATAAGTAGAAGAAAAAGCTGCTTCTTTTTTTTTGGATCGGAATCCCATGCCATATGACTCGAGATTTTCACAAGAAGGATAAACATATGGGCAGAGAATTGAGTTGCTTCTTGTGTTTTCTTCTGCTGATTCTTGCACAGTGGGAGATTAATCTTTGTTATGCAGAAAGAGATCAGAATGCTCCTTTTTCTGCTATGAATTCCGTTAAAATCCATAAGGGCTCCAAAGAAAATGCAACGAAGAAGGATGGAAATGAAATTTTTGGTGCAGAAATGAGGAAAGTTTATACAGGTCCAAATCCTCTACACAACAGATAAGTAGCAGAAAAAATATATCAAGCTTCTCATTCAAGCCACGATATATATATATATATTTTATTTTTTTTTAATTTTTCTGACTTTTTCTTCCCTTTGATCCCATCAAAATTTCACCTTTAGCAACGAAAAATCGGATTGTGTCGTCAACAACGAGAATAACTTCATCGTTGGGTTGTTCAAAAAGGTTCGTCAAGCGAATATCTGTCATCTGTGGGATTCTTTTAACCTTAAATTTGTATATGAAAGTTATTTATGACTTTTTATTGAGAAAATATGTTTATTTGTTTGAAGAAGAGATATGCAACATGAAATAATATTTTTGAGTTCACTATTTTCTGAATAATAGTGCCACTAGTTAATGCAGTTTTTGGTATGAAGAATGCCTTATAATTTCTACAGTTCTCTGTGAAATTCCTCTTGTAGCAATAGCATTGTGAAGGAATGTCTTTGCAAAGTTTTTTATCCATTTTTATCTACTTTTTAGTCATTCTATATTTATTAAGAGCAATATCAACTTATATTGAATATTATGAATGATGCTTTAACTTCTTATTCATATTTAATATATTGTCAAGTATTGTGTATTCACCTCACCAAACGTCGCTAAAATTTTTGGTTAGCTATCATAGTTTCAATTTGATACTATACAGTTTACTCGAGTGCAGTATTAAACCACCTTAACACGTACGCATAATGTATTTATAGAAAAGTAAATCTGGCGTGTGCGCGCATGTTGCAGAAATCTGAATAGAATTTTTTTTCATTCTAATATAAGATTATGTATTTTTGAACAAGTTTATTTAAAGGTAACATACAAATATATAAGGCATATATATAAAGAGCATGAAAGAGCATTTATCTCTTTAACAAGAGTACATTCGAGTGTGAATTGAGATGGAAAATAATTACACGACATTAGAAAATCCAGTGTCTAATTATAATTACCTACCTCGGCGTAGAAGAAAAAATGAGCATTTATTCATAGTATGAATTTCTGTTAATTTTGAAAATTTTCATGTCTCATCATTTCTGCTGTGCGTTATACAGTGGGGTTTTCTTTCGGCTATAGGAATCAGTAAGAGTGATACATGTCTGAAAAGATTCAACCTCATTTTATTTTTTTGTGAGGACAGATAAATTTTACAGTTGTTGTCACGCATGTTCCAGTAATGAATGCTCAGATAGATATACCCCACTAAAATTGTTTGCTTCTACCTTCTAATTCAGTCACTTAACTTACCTATTAAAGACAATGATATTAATTTTGTTTGAAATGCTGACGGTCACTTATCCTGTTTGGTTCTCATTATTTGTCATTTTAATGTTTGTAATAGTATTTTTTTTAAGAATATGTGGTTAAAAAAAAGAATATTTTTTTTTTTGAGTTTACATGTAATATTATTTTCTTTTATTTATTTTTTAACAAACAAGTGCTCTCTTTTATAAATAGAGTCTCACTTGTGGTGGAGGGATACCGTGGTTACAAAACCAAATAAAACCAACTAATTTTTTTCCAAACTCCATGTAATCTAAAACAACATTGGAAGATTTAAAGTCAAACTGTAGGGAGAAAAACCTCTTAAATGAGGAATGCTCAGTTTATCCATACGCAAACCTCCTCTAACTGATGATGAAATAGCAGTTGAATCCATCCAAATATATGAAACACTAGACGCTCCCATCTTTGACAAGATATCAGCTACCGAATTACCCTCGCGACGTATGTGTTGAACTCTACATGAGATAGTAGACAATAAGTATTGTATTTCTTCCCAGTAACCCTCTAAACACCAAATACTGCAAACCTTCTTCTTTAGCCAATTAATGATAACTAGTGAGTCTAGCACCACTTCAATTCGGCTAATCCCCATCCTTTTAGCATGTCGGAGCCCATATAATAATGCCTGTAGTTCAGCACCATTATTGGTGCCCTCACCGAGATTCTCAGCAAAGGCTACGACAATATCACCATTCTCTTTTCGAATAATACCTCTAGCACCACAAATTCCAGGATTGCCGAGGCAACATCCATCAGTATTGAGTTTGTACCACCCCTGCCTAGGTTGTTGCCATCTCACTACTTTAATTTTTTTCTTTTTAATCGGCTTTACTGGTATGTTAAGTTCCCTCAACACCCATTTATCTCTTCTGCTTAACATTCTCACTTCTTTTAGTTTTAACCCCACCCAAGAGATCCAAACTTTTATCTTTCTCCAAGTAGCTTCTATAGATTCCATCTTTCCCTCCATCTTGGCTGAACATCGCCACATCCATAAATGCCAGCAAATTATACTAGGAATAATACCAATTAGATTACCTTTATGTGATGTTTATATAGCTCTTCAGAACCAAATTTCTACACGCTCTCTCCATTCTCGAGTTTGCATGCATCGAATTCCTAGTAAGGTTGAACATTTTAGCCAAATTTGTTGTGCCACGTTCCCCAAGGCCAATACGTGATTTTGATCCTCATATCCCCCATGCAAGCAACACATACACTTCGATACAATGGGGATACCAACTTTTCGGATTTTGTCATCCACAGAAAGACCTCCCTTCATGGCCAACCACATATTTAATGAAATCTTCTTTGGTAGAGTTGGGTGCCAAATCCATTATTGCCACTATGATATATGCTCCGAACGTCTTGTAGCTTCCCAAGCACTTTTTGTAGAAAATTTTCCATCCAAACTTTTAGTCCAAATCAGCCTGTCTTTGCCTGTCTCGATTTTTCCCAGTTTGGCAAGAACCTCTCCCGCTTGATCTCTCCCAACTAGCTCCTCTATCAGATTTTCATTCCACCCGTTTTCATTTTTAAGATCTTTGATCAAGATTTTAGGTTGTTCAACTAATAGCATTCGATCTCCCAAAGGATCCATATTTGACCATCTATCCCACCAAAATGATACACCACCCTCCTTCACTCGCCATCTAGACCATTTAAGAACATCGGCATGCAACTCATAACTATCTTCCAGAATCTTGACCCCTTAGTAGCATCCACTTGAGATATGTGTTTGTCCTTGATATATTTTGCCCTAAAAATTTTTGACCAAAGGGATGTTTCAGTCAAAATTTTCCAGGATAATTGCACTTCATGTAGACTATGAAGCCTAGCTCTTCCTTCTTTAACAGGCATACAAACTTTGTCCCATGCTATCCATTTCCTCTTAGGCTTTCCATCCGCATAGCCCCAGAAGAAATCACTAAAGATTCTGTTGATAACTTTTAAAACCGAAGCTGGTGCTTTGATACAAGAGAACAGATGTGGAGGCATACTAGAAAGGACATGCCTCAAAAGCAGAAGTCTGGCCCCCTTAGATAATACCCTACTTTGCCAACTTGCCAATCTCATACGAATTTTCCCAACTACGTCCTCAAGATCTTGCATTCTCAATCTTCCTGTGATTATAGGAACCCCTAAATATTTGAAAGGGAATTTGCCTTTAGTGAATCCAGTGAGTCGTAAGAGCACCTGCCTTCTTGACGCGATGATCCATTTAGAGAAAATAATGGAGGTTTTATCAACACTAACAACCTGTCCCGACCACTCTTCATATTTTCGGAAGACCTCCTTAATAGATCTTAAAGATTTTTTCCGACCATTCGCGAATATTACAATGTCATCAGCATACAACAGATGAGAAATAAGGGGAGCCCCCTATGGTAAAGAAAAAGATCTTATGTTGCCATCTTCATGTTTAGCTCTCAACATTCTGGATAAAACTTCTTGTAATATTATTTTATTGGAGCTTGTATGATTGATAAGAAGATAATGAAAAATGAATTATAATTATAATAGGGGCCAACCAAGGCTTAACTTATATCTTTTATTGAAATTAGATCTTTTGCTTTAGTTTGATTACTCAATTAAATTTTTAGTTAATTTGCAGGAAAAGAAAATAAATTCTAGACAATTCATGAAAATTATTAATTAAATGTGTTTGATTGATTTAGTTTTCAATTAAAAAAATATTATACTTGTCGATTTTTTATTAATAGGTAAATGAAAGAGAAGTTATAGATGAGAGAGAGAGAGAGAGAGAGAGAGAGAGAGAGAGAGAATGAATTACCTGAAAAATAAAAATCATTTCTCCCTAAAAAAATGTTTTCCTTGTTTTTGAGAAAAATATGGTTACTTGACCAAAAGTTGAAAAATATTTTTCATGCATTTTTTTTTAAATCAAACACTCAAAAAGTAAGAATTTCGGTGAAAAATGACATTGTCCATGGAAAATAAAGTCAATCAAACACACTCTTAATTTCTTTAAAAATATATTTTGTCTTTCACGTTGCACATTTTGTTAGAAATATTAAGATTTTAACTCAGTACTTAAATTCAAACTTGGAAAGAATTTAATTTTCACAATTTCATAAAATAGAGAGTTTTGCTACATGTACAACTAGTTTGACAATTACGAGCTCAGTAATTATGAAATGGGACATGCTACATGTGAGGGTGTGGATACCCCTATGTACCAAATTTTATAAACACGAAGATTATTCTTATAAAATTTTGCTATGAGTTGAGCCTTTGCCTGGATAAGTGAGCGTTTTCACAAATTTATAAAATTGGTGTCGACTTCCAAAACTTCTGATGCATATTTTATTTTCATGTCAGGTTTATTATGCAATATTGTATAACTATGATCGTAGGTATTTTTTTTTTTGCATAAAATTATTTTTTAGATCGAAAAAGCTTGGGAATACATTTTTTTTTTTGGGGGAATGTATAAATACTACAAATGCACGTAATGTTTATATACACATGGATGCATCGATCGTTGCTAATCGACAACTATAGCTTATTATTAATGTTAATTTATATCTTACACTACGTCCTTATTCTTATCGTGTGAGTATTTATTAGTTACAAGGGACAATAAATGTTTCTAAGCAAAAAATATTGTTGACTGAAGAAATTAAATTATTATATATCATAATAAAAAATTACAAGTTGGTTGAATAATTTGTCAAAATAAAGATTAAGTTACCCTACATGGACAATTTAAAAAATAAAAAATAAAACTTTTATTTAGTCAAAAGTTGTTACTGTATCACTTTGTGGATTTTAATGTTAACACCATTTACCTTTTAATTCTCAAAGTCAAATATTATACACAAAAAGAAGATTTTTGGCTTCCTTTTCCTTTCCTTATTCAACATTTAAAATATATAGAGTCAATTTACGAATCTATTGAAACAAAGTCCTAATCCACTTTCCACGCGACTTGTCAGAGCGTTTTGTATAATCATTTGAAATGTCAAAAGTGTTTTGAGGCCAAGCTACAACTTCAATACAATTGTCGTCATCAATAAAGCTTTGTCAATTCAATTGTGACTTCATCAAGACATCACGTAGAAGTAAATATATATAATTAAGAAAGCCAACATCTTAATACATAATTAGATAAAAATGAACATCAATGTTCTTTTTCTTAACATCTTGTTTTCAATAAAATCCATGATTTAACTTATAAGTGAGTTCAAAGAAAATGTTAAACTAGAGTTGGCACAATTCAAAAGGGAGACATGTGATAAACCAGAACTACCGCATCTTGCTTCTATATCCACGGTTAGACAAAACAAAATCTCGTGAATACCATCTAGTTTGGAATCAGAAATCGAATTACTACATGCAATTAAATAATGAAACAACAACAAAAGAAGAAGTGTGCCTCAAAATGCTAATCCAAGAAAATTCTTGAATCCTCTTTCTATAGAGCATTTGCTAGGGTGTCTATGTTTCCAAATTAATTCCCCATTTTGTAAGGCATTAGATCAAGCAGTGGGATCCACCTCATTATACTACAATTGTACTGAATATTTATGTGACATTTGGGCAAAGAAATTCACTGTCTACTTGTTTTTATTGTGGTATTTGAGAGTTGGATAAGAGTATGATTTTTTTCTCCTACATCAAAATATGGTGGCTCTTCAAGAACAACAAAGTTGAAATCCAATTTCATGTTTGAGCTCCAAACATATATTCAAATTATCCGTTTAAACCTTTTGTGCTGATACCATGTTGAGTCTTAGGTTTCTATTTTAAAATACCCTTAAAATGCGATGCATAATTTTACCCTCAACAAAATTTAAGTGGAGGGTTTCTGTATAATGAGGATGAGTTACAATTTTTTTGTGAGGTCCTTACCCATGCATGTTTACCAATAACTAAGGTTGGAAGTTTATTACAACTCCAGTAGGTAAACACATGCAATTTTTCCCTAGAAAGCAGGCCATTTTTTGTTTTGTTTTGTTTTGGGAAAATGCTTCTTGTATATATAATGACGAAACGTCAAAATGTAAGTGGGAAGTTGTTTGATTGATGAAATTTTGATCAAATTAAATCTCATCACATTATCTATTGATAAATCATTATGTAAGTTATTATGTACCTGTAACACAACCATTTTTCTCATATTGGGCTCAGAAAAAGGCAATTGAAAAAAATCCCCTTATAGTTAGGTGAAATTGTCCATCACAAATAATAAACCAGTCAATTCAAGACCCGAAGGACCCTCCAAAATTCAGTACATAATGGCTGGGCCTCGCATACACACCCGGAATATGAAAAACCACAAAACAATTTTAAAAAGAACTTTAGAACAAATTCTTTCAGAACACAGATTTGATAGCTGATAATTCATTTGAGTAATACAAAAGACGATTAACAGCATGTAAAAGAGGCAAGTGTAAGAGGAAACATCAAATTTGAGTTAGTCGGGAAATGTCTCATGTATACAGTATATATGACGCCGAGTAGAACAGTAATTATTCTGCAGGCTAGTTCTACCAGCAAATTCACAGGGAAGAACACGATATTAACGCCAAAAAAAAACAGAGAAATCGTCTCTGAAGTTTAAAGAACTTTATTATATCACGTAATGATCAAAATAAGTCCACAAGCCGGACTTTAGAGCAAAAATTCGAATTTTACCAAAAATGGCAAAATTCTAAAAAATCACGCCAAATGAAAATAAGTAGTCTGCGAAAAATCTAGCCCAAATTGGGTTAAAAATCATCTCCTAACATGCAATCGAGATATTACCAAAAGTAACAAAAAATAACTAAAAATAGCAATTCGGAAAGGAAAACAGCTTCCTAACATGCAATCGAAATATTAAAAAAAATAGCAAACAATAACTAAAAATAGCAATTCGAAAGGGAAAATAGCGAAATTTGAGAATGAAAACGGCACATACCGAGCAAAGTTAGGTGGCCACAACGTGCACGCCGAAACGAGCTTTCCGGATTGTGGTCCTAATCGCGATTCTGATAACTATAGCCAAAGTTATGGCCAAATTACCGAAATACGATTCAATTGCCAACTCGTGATACCTTAGAGCCATTAACGCGTTATCTGACAACTCAGTATCTGATTCGGACCCTCCTGCATCAATATATCAAGCCGATGCAACTTCTTCACGAACACATTCAGTGGATTGAGATGCAGTACAAGCTCATATTCAAGAAGATGTAACATGAAAGTCGACAATTGTGATTTGAGCGGAGAAAATAATGAGCTGTATTCAAACGTGATGTAGAAGTGACCTTGTTTAGGACATGTGTTTGTATCCCTACTGCCCGGGAACAACATATGGGGATGCATATAGTTATGTACATGGAAAAAAATTCGAGGGATGTGATATTTCAACAAATGATTTAGGAAGGTCAAAACATAGCTCAAGTAGTAAGAGCAAAGCCTTACCAGACTGATGGCCTGGGTTCGAGCTAATAAAGTACCTAACTCGACATATGGTGACGCAGTATTACGAGACCACACGACACGGATCTACTCATTTACTCAAAACCCAACTTCCATGCAGATCTCTTCTTTTGCCAATGGCCTTTTTCTCATGTCTAATTTACCCACTGTAACCTCTTTATCAATATTCAGAGGAAAAGTTTCTAAAGAACAGACCAAATCTTACAGTGCATTAAAAGAAGGCATTAGTGGCCAGAAATGTCCTTTTAACCTATCAATTGCCCATTTTCTCGACCACCAGAAGATGGTTAAATTTGTCACATATGTTCGCAAATATCTATGCTGGTTGTGAGAAATCAAGAAATTGTACAATCACCAAGTTAGAAACAAAGTGTCAAACTCAAGAACAGATATTGAAACTTTCCAAATTTAAAACTACATTCAAGTAGCCATCGTATCAAGACATTGTAAAGAAAAACAGGAAATAACGCATGTTTGGTGTGTTATATTAGATGTTGACCCCATTTTTTGTAATGGTTATATGGACAACAGATGACAGGCCCACTCACCTCTACGCAAGCAAATTTTAACAAGTTTTGACTGGAGATTCGGACAGAAAATGATGGCTATGGACGTGAGAGATGCTTTACGACGCGACACAAAAATGTTCAAACACCGAAATT